CATGCGAGCTTTTAAATACCAAGCGTTCGTGTTGACCCCAAAGAAAAGCGATCGAAGTGGGACCCGAAGGCTTGATGTTCATGGGTTACAAAGAAGTGTTGAAAGTATACCGCATTTACGAAATTAAAGCAGATCAAGTGGTAATATCGCGTGATGTCACCTTTGACGAATCAACGTTTGGATTATCACGGGCACTGCCGCAAGAAGTTGTCGATGACACTGCGCTGGACTTCGACGCGATGGACATCAGTGATGAGCTTTGCACCATGCAGTTCAGGCACAATAGAAAGCGAAAGAGCCGTTCAAACTGCCATGAAAAAGTCTATCAACGGACACTTCCTAATCGCAGTGGAGCCGGGTTGAAAGAAGCAAGTGCACCAGATCATTTTTGAGTCGCGTCAAGCGAAACGGCGCTAAAGAACTCGCGCCAATCTAGACGAAGAGCGAAAAGGCGGTGATGAAGATGACGATGATGAGTCTCCTCTAGTCTTCTGGCAAGCAAGTGCCAATGCAGCCAAAGGTACTGACTTGTCCGAGCTGACAACGTTTCAACGCGCGGGTAGTGGTCCGGATCGAGTTCATTGTCGTAATGCGCTTGCGCCGAGTTGGACTCAATGAAGCTACGTGGCGTGTTCCGAGGGACCAAGCTGCCAGATGGACAGCACACCATTGGTACCAAGTGGGTGTTTAAGATCAAGCGCGAGGCTAATAAATCGATCGAAAAGTGCAAGGCCCGTCTCGTGGCAAAAGGGTTCAAGACAAGAAATGACATTGACTTCACGGAGACGTTCTCACCAGGCGTCAAGTATGTGACACTTGGCATGGTGATCGTGATCACGAGTACTTTTACTGGACGATGGAACAACTAGATGTGGTGACAGCTTATCTGCATGGTGAAATAAAGGGACCAGTGTTTTGCGCGGTCCCAGAGGGTGTAGAAGTCACTGTAAGACTTTGACTGCTTCGAGATGGTGAAAGCAATCTACAGACTGAACAAGCTTCACGGGTGTGGAAAGAAACTTTCCATGAGCTCGTCTGCTCTATCAGATTTCAAGCGTCCAACTTTTACCCATGCATCGATTTCAAGGTCGCAAGCGGACAGTGCGTGTTTTGCTGGTCTACGTCGATGATGTGTTGGTGACTGGCAGCTCGACTGAAATGATTGCGCGTACGACTTGAAGTCGCATTTCGAGATGACTGACAGAGGCAAGTGTTCTTTTGTGTTGGGTATCGAGATGGTAAAGGATGAAGGCAGCGTGACGATGTGCCAACGACGCTACGTAGACGGTGTTCTGAAGCGGTTCGGCATGAGCGATTGCAAAGCTGTCATCAGCCTAACGGACATCACCCCTCGACTCCACCAAGTAACGCAGCGACCAATATCGACGCTCTGTTTCATCAAGCAGTGGGTGCCTTAATGCACTTGACGACCGCGACACGACCGGGCATTGCCTTAACTGTGAGCTATGTTTCGCGCTTCATGGAGAAACCGCAAGTCGAGCACTGGATGGCGGTCAAGCGTATTGTGCAATGCTTGCATGGATCCAAATTGCACGGCATCTGCTCCAAACTCGGCGGCAAGGTGGATTTCTACGGCTACTCGGATGCAGACTGGGCCGGCAACCATGTGAATCGCAAGTCTACTTAGAGAGACGCACTCATGATTCTATGTGCTCCGGTGAGCTGGGGTAGCAAGAAGCAACCAAGTGTGTAATTGTCAACAAGTGAAGCCGAGTATATCGCTCTAATTCTGGCCATTCAAGAAGGCAAGTGGGTGCATCGCTTGCTGCGCGATAATTTTCTGGCTACCGCAGCGGACAAGTCCGAGCTCAAGGTTATGGAAGACAACCAGTCCTGCATCAAGATGACGAAGGACTTGGTGATCCATGGTAAAGCCAAGAGCATCAAAATCAAGTACCATTACATCCTTAATGAGGTTAAGTGCGGGAAAGTCAAGCTGGAATCTTGTGAGACGACGAATATATTGGCGGACATCATGACGAAGGGGCTACTAGGACCACGGCACAAAGACATGACGGCGGCTCTCGGCATTCACGCAAATTTGCATTGAGGGTGCGCATTGAGGGTGCGCATTGAAGGTTACTGGTACAATCCGATCTTCGAGCGTAGTGCATACGGAATAGTTTTTATGTCGGTGATTACTTCAGAATTGGTTAGACGCGTAGGATGATTGGACGCGTGTAAATCAGGTTGATTAAATGCACCATGGGATTGGATGCAGTCAAGCGTAGGCAGAGTTGATACCTATAAATCAATCACTTCTAAACATTCCTCCTACAGAACAAGTCGTCTTTACTTTGTGGTGTAGACTTCTTTAGCTTTCTTGAAGCGACAGCTTTTCAGCATGGAGATAGCGGAAAGCGGCAATGTCATGCATCATTTTAATGAAGTCCTCAACATCAGAGCGAAGCTCAGCAGCATCAGCGCCAAGATGGAGGACGAGGACGTAGCGATCTTCTTTTGAAGCAATCTCCTCAAGAGCTACGAGAACGTCGTTCTCAACTTGTAGATGAGCAGCGCAAACTGCAACCGTGCGACGCTGTCAACGTTTTGACGAACGATCACATCAAGCGTCAAGGTGCCAAGTCTGCGGCGGTGAAGACTGAAGAAGTGACCAAGGCCTTCAGTACCGAGCGCGAGGTTCGTCGATGCTCGTTCTGCGGAAATTGGGGAGAAGTGGAACGTTGCTGGACCAAGCAGAAGGAATAAAATCGGGGAGCTCGACGCGGTAGCAATGCTCCTGGACGCGGATCGAATCAAGTCCAGTGGCAAGGATACAACAGCAACAACAACTGCGACTACGATCGAGTAGTGTTTGCTGTTTCACTGGAATGCGTAATTTCAGCGATCAAGAATACGCCTGAGATGTGGGCGAATAGCAGCGGTGCGACGCAACACATCTGCCATGACAAGAACAAGTTCAAATGCCCGGACGAGCGTAATGAAGGCGAAGCGTTGGTCGCAGATGGGAACAAGGAAAGGTCCCGCAAAACGGTGAAGAGCGCGATATCAAGAACGCGCTTCACGTCCCAAGAATGAGCATACATCTGCTGTCAATTCCGCAAATCAATAAGAGCTGCAAAGCTTAAGTGATGTTCCATGGTGCCGAGATGAAGATTTTACACAAAGACTCCGAGCAAGTGATGGCAATGGCAGAACTTGTAGACGGAATCGACTGGCTTCGTACACTGCAAAGATCCGTGAATGCTACATTGCGATCATGAGACGAAGATCATCATGCGCGTATAGGCCACGCACCAACTGAGGTCCTGTACAGGATGGTTTCCAAGAACATGATCAAGGATGTCAAGATACCACCAAGATCAAGCGAATCAAGCGTGCGTCGTGGTTGTCAAGAAGAAGAAATGGTGCAGCGACCGTTTCCAAGCATCCCGAACAAGCGTCACTATGATCCGTTTGAGCTTCTGCACATCGACACGTGTGACCCGATGGAAGCCGACTCGTTAGTTGGAGCCAAGTAATTGCTGCTGATAGTAGATGAAGGCAGTGGATGCATGATGGGCTTCAGTCTGCGCGCCAAGTTCGACTGTGAAACGTGAATCAAGAAGTACATCGTGGCGTCCAGATGCAGTTCGACTGCACGGTTAAATATGTTCGGCACAATGGTGCAAGTGAGTGTGCGCCGACTTCGCTCAAGGCATTCTACGATGGTCAAGGAATCGAGCAGCAGGTCACCGTTCCATATGCGCACTAGACTAATGGCAAAGCAAAACAAGGGATTCGGATCATCGGGACAATCGTCCGCAGCTTGCTTCACTACGCAAAACTGGACGAGTGTTTTTGGGCCGAGGCAGTAATGACGGCGATCTACGTCAAGAATCGCCTGCCTTCACCGAAGTACCAAGACTGAACTCCGTTCGAGATCATCAAAGGTTGCGGCCAAGTGTGAAGCACATGCGAGCTTTTGAATACCGAACGTTCGTGTCGACCCCCAAAGAAAAGCGATCGAAGTCTTCCCCAACTACCAAGACTGAACTCCGTTCGAGATCATCAAAGGTTGCGGCCAAGTGTGAAGCACATGCGAGTTTTTGAATACCAAGCGTTCGTGTTGACCCCAAAGAAAAGCGATCGAAGTGGGACCCGAAGGCTTGATGTTCATGGGTTACAAAGAAGTGTTGAAAGTATACCGCATTTACGAAATTAAAGCAGATCAAGTGGTAATATCGCGTGATGTCACCTTTGACGAATCAACGTTTGGATTGTCACGGGCACTGCCGCAAGAAGTTGTCGATGACACTGCGCTGGACTTCGACGCGATGGACATCAGTGATGAGCTTTGCACCATGCAGTTCAGGCACAATAGAAAGCGAAAGAGCCGTTCAAACTGCCATGAAAAAGTCTATCAACGGACACTTCCTAATCGCAGTGGAGCCGGGTTGAAAGAAGCAAGTGCACCAGATCATTTTTGAGTCGCGTCAAGCGAAACGGCGCTAAAGAACTCGCGCCAATCTAGACGAAGAGCGAAAAGGCGGTGATGAAGATGACGATGATGAGTCTCCTCTAGTCTTCTGGCAAGCAAGTGCCAATGCAGCCAAAGGTACTGACTTGTCCGAGCTGACAACGTTTCAACGCGCGGGTAGTGGTCCGGATTGAGTTCATTGTCGTAATGCGCTTGCGCCGAGTTGGACTCAATGAAGCTACGTGGCGTGTTCCGAGGGACCAAGCTGCCAGATGGACAGCACACCATTGGTACCAAGTGGGTGTTTAAGATCAAGCGCGAGGCTGATGAATCGATCGAAAAGTGCAAGGCCCGTCTCGTGGCAAAAGGGTTCAAGACAAGAAATGACATTGACTTCACGGAGACGTTCTCACCAGGCGTCAAGTATGTGACACTTGGCATGGTGATCGTGATCACGAGTACTTTTACTGGACGATGGAACAACTAGATGTGGTGACAGCCTTCTCTGCGGAGTGATGAAGTAGAAGGGGTGTACTACGTGATACCAGAAGGCGTCGAGATGGATGGCGACTTCGACTGTCTCGAGTTGGTGAAGGCGATCTACGGTCTCAAGCAAGCTTCACGTGTGTGGAACGAGACTTTCGACGAGTTCGTATGCTTTATCGGTTTCGAAGCGTCGGCGTTCGACCCATGTCTCTACATCAAGGTTGTCGACGGTCACTGTGTGCTCGTGCTGGTCTACGTGGATGACGTGTTGGTCACCGGCAGCTCGCTCGAGTTGATTGCGCAGACGAAGGCCGACCTCAAGACGCGTTTCGAGATGACCGACAGTGGCAAGTGTACTTTTGTACTGGGCATCGAACTGGTGGACGAATCGGATGGCAGCGTGACGATGTGCCAGCGACGGTATGTCAACGACATCCTCAAGCGCTTCGGCATGGATGAGTGCAAGGCCACAGCAAGTCCGGTCGATTTGAGCACTCGGCTTGTCGCAAGCAGCGAAGTGGCCAAGATCGACGTTCCGTTTCGTGAAGCTGTGGGAGCTTTGATGCACTTGACGACTGCGACGCGCCCATACATTGCGTATGCCGTGGGGTATGTCTCGCGCTTCATGGAGAATCCGCAGAAAGAACATTGGACGGCGGTGAAGCGCATCTTTCGTTAATTGCAAGGGACCAAGTCGCACGGACTCCGCTTCCAGCCAAGCGACAAGATCGACTTTCGTGGCTACTCGGACGCGGACTGGGCCGGCGACCACGCTGATCGCAAGTCGACTTCGGGTTACACTTTCATGCTGATGGGTGCCCCTATGAGTTGGGGAAGCAAGAAGCAGTCAAGTGTGTCGCTGTCAACAAGTGAAGCGGAATACATCGCCTTGAGTCTGGCCATCCAGGAAGGCAAGTGGGTGCATCGTCTGCTATGCGAGATTTTGGCGGCCGCAAACGAATTAGGACCGGACCTCGTCATCCGTGAGGACAACCAGTCGTGCATCAAGATGACGAAGAATCAGGTGAATCATGGCCGCGCCAAGCACATCTACATCAAGTACCATCACATTCGCGATGAGGTCAAGCGCGGTGAAGTGCAGCTCGAGTATTGCGAGGCTTCCGTGATGATGGCGGACATCATGACCAAGGGACTTTCGGGACCTCGCCACAAGGACTTGACGACGGCTCTCGGCATTCGTGCAAGTTCAGATTGAGGGGGCGTATTGAGGATTACCGATACAATCCGAACTTAAGCGTAGTTTTTACGGGATAGTTTTTACGTCGGTAATTACCTCAGAGATGATTAGACGCGTAGGATGATTAGACGTGTGTAAATCAGGTTGATTAGATGCACCATGTGATTGGATGCAGTCTAGGGTAGGCAGAGTTAAGACCTATGAATCAATCACTTTCCAATCTTCCATCTACCCCTCAAGTGTCTTCTCCGGTCTTCCGAGTGGACTGCCAGCATCCCTCCCAGTTTCGGTCGTTAAGCTCTACCATGCAACATGCATGGATCCAAATTGCACGGCATCTGCTCTAAACTCGGCGGCAAGGTGGATTTCTACGGCTACTCGGATGCAGACTGGGCCGGCAACCATGTGAATCGCAAGTCTACTTAGAGAGACGCACTCATGATTCTATGTGCTCCGGTGAGCTGGGGTAGCAAGAAGCAACCAAGTGTGTAATTGTCAACAAGTGAAGCCGAGTATATCGCTCTAATTCTGGCCATTCAAGAAGGCAAGTGGGTGCATCGCTTGCTGCGCGATAATTTTCTGGCTACCGCAGCGGACAAGTCCGAGCTCAAGGTTATGGAAGACAACCAGTCCTGCATCAAGATGACGAAGGACTCGGTGATCCATGGTAAAGCCAAGAGCATCAAAATCAAGTACCATTACATCCTTAATGAGGTTAAGTGCGGGAAAGTCAAGCTGGAATCTTGTGAGACGACGAATATATTGGCGGACATCATGACGAAGGGGCAACTAGGACCACGGCACAAAGACATGACGGCGGCTCTCGACATTCACGCAAATTTGCATTGAGGGTGCGCATTGAGGGTGCGCATTGAAGGTTACTGGTACAATCCGATCTTCGAGCGTAGTGCATACGGAATAGTTTTTATGTCGGTGATTACTTCAGAATTGGTTAGACGCGTAGGATGATTGGACGCGTGTAAATCAGGTTGATTAAATGCACCATGGGATTGGATGCAGTCAAGCGTAGGCAGAGTTGATACCTATAAATCAATCACTTCTAAACATTCCTCCTACAGAACAAGTCGTCTTTACTTTGTGGTGTAGACTTCTTTAGCTTTCTTGAAGCGACAGCTTTTCAGCATGGAGATAGCGGAAAGCGGCAATGTCATGCATCATTTTAATGAAGTCCTCAACATCAGAGCGAAGCTCAGCAGCATCAGCGCCAAGATGGAGGACGAGGACGTAGCGATCTTCTTTTGAAGCAATCTCCTCAAGAGCTACGAGAACGTCGTTCTCAACTTGTAGATGAGCAGCGCAAACTGCAACCGTGCGACGCTGTCAACGTTTTGACGAACGATCACATCAAGCGTCAAGGTGCCAAGTCTGCGGCGGTGAAGACTGAAGAAGTGACCAAGGCCTTCAGTACCGAGCGCGAGGTTCGTCGATGCTCGTTCTGCGGAAATTGGGGAGAAGTGGAACGTTGCTGGACCAAGCAGAAGGAAGAAAATCGGGGAGCTCGACGCGGTAGCAATGCTCCTGGACGCAGAGCGAATCAAGTCCAGTGGCAAGGATACAACAGCAACAACAACTGCGACTACGATCGAGTAGTGTTTGCTGTTTCACTGGAATGCGTAATTTCAGCGATCAAGAATACGTCTGAGATTTGTGCGAATAGCAGCGGTGCGACGCAACACATCTGCCATGACAAGAACAAGTTCTAATGCCCGGACGAGCGCAATGAAGGCGAAGCGTTGGTCGCAGATGAGAACAAGGAAAGGTCCCGCAAAACGGTGAAGAGCGCGATATCAAGAACGCGCTTCACGTCCCAAGAATGAGCATACATCTGCTGTCAATTCCGCAAATCAATAAGAGCTGCAAAGCTTAAGTGATGTTCCATGGTGCCGAGATGAAGATTTTACACAAAGACTCCGAGCAAGTGATGGCAATGGCAGAACTTGTAGACAGAATCGACTGGCTTCGTACACTGCAAAGATCCGTGAATGCTACATTGCGATCATGAGACGAAGATCATCATGCGCGTATAGGCCACGCACCAACTGAGGTCCTGTACAGGATGGTTTCCAAGAACATGATCAAGGATGTCAAGATACCACCAAGATCAAGCGAATCAAGCGTGCGTCGTGGTTGTCAAGAAGAAGAAATGGTGCAGCGACCGTTTCCAAGCATCCCGAACAAGCGTCACTATGATCCGTTTGAGCTTCTGCACATCGACACGTGTGACCCGATGGAAGCCGACTCGTTAGTTGGAGCCAAGTAATTGCTGCTGATAGTAGATGAAGGCAGTGGATGCATGATGGGCTTCAGTCTGCGCGCCAAGTTCGACTGTGAAACGTGAATCAAGAAGTACACCGTGGCGGTCCAGATGCAGTTCGACTGCACGGTTAAATATGTTCGGCACAATGGTGCACGTGAGTGTGCGCCGACTTCGCTCAAGGCATTCTACGATGGTCAAGGAATCGAGCAGCAGGTCACCGTTCCATATGCGCACTAGACTAATGGCAAAGCAAAACAAGGGATTCGGATCATCGGGACAATCGTCCGCAGCTTGCTTCACTACGCAAAACTGGACGAGTGTTTTTGGGCCGAGGCAGCAATGACGGCGATCTACGTCAAGAATCGCCTGCCTTCGGCCAAGTACCAAGACTGAACTCCGTTCGAGATCATCAGAGATTGCGGCCAAGTGTGAAGCACATGCGAGTTTTTGAATACCGAACGTTCGTGTCGACCCCAAAGAAAAGCGATCGAAGTCTTCCCCAACTACCAAGACTGAACTCCGTTCGAGATCATCAAAGGTTGCGGCCAAGTGTGAAGCACATGCGAGTTTTTGAATACCAAGCGTTCGTGTTGACCCCAAAGAAAAGCGATCGAAGTGGTACCCGAAGGCTTGATGTTCATGGGTTACAAAGAAGTGTTGAAAGTATACCGCATTTACGAAATTAAAGCAGATCAAGTGGTAATATCGCGTGATGTCACCTTTGACGAATCAACGTTTGGATTGTCACGGGCACTGCCGCAAGAAGTTGTCGATGACACTGCGCTGGACTTCGACGCGATGGACATCAGTGATGAGCTTTGCACCATGCAGTTCAGGCACAATAGAAAGCGAAAGAGCCGTTCAAACTGCCATGAAAAGTCTATCAACGGACACTTCCTAATCGCAGTGGAGCCGGGTTGAAAGAAGCAAGTGCACCAGATCATTTTTGAGTCGCGTCAAGCGAAACGGCGCTAAAGAACTCGCGCCAATCTAGACGAAGAGCGAAAAGGCGGTGATGAAGATGACGATGATGAGTCTCCTCTAGTCTTCTGGCAAGCAAGTGCCAATGCAGCCAAAGGTACTGACTTGTCCGAGCTGACAACGTTTCAACGCGCGGGTAGTGGTCCGGATCGAGTTCATTGTCGTAATGCGCTTGCGCCGAGTTGGACTCAATGAAGCTACGTGGCGTGTTCCGAGGGACCAAGCTGCCAGATGGACAGCACACCATTGGTACCAAGTGGGTGTTTAAGATCGAGCGCGAGGCTGATGAACCGATCGAAAAGTGCAAGGCCCGTCTCGTGGCAAAAGGGTTCAAGACAAGAAATGACATTGACTTCACGGAGACGTTCTCACCAGGCGTCAAGTATGTGACACTTGGCATGGTGATCGTGATCACGAGTACTTTTACTGGACGATGGAACAACTAGATGTGGTGACAGCTTATCTGCATGGTGAAATAAAGGGACCAGTGTTTTGCGCGGTCCCAGAGGGTGTAGAAGTCAATGTAAACTTTGACTGCTTCGAGATGGTGAAAGCAATCTACAGACTGAACAAGCTTCACGGGTGTGGAAAGAAACTTTCCATGAGCTCGTCTGCTCTATCAGATTTCAAGCGTCCAACTTTTACCCATGCATCGATTTCAAGGTCGCAAGCGGACAGTGCGTGTTTTGCTGGTCTACGTCGATGATGTGTTGGTGACTGGCAGCTCGACTGAAATGATTGCGCGTACGACTTGAAGTCGCATTTCGAGATGACTGACAGAGGCAAGTGTTCTTTTGTGTTGGGTATCGAGATGGTAAAGGATGAAGGCAGCGTGACGATGTGCCAACGACGCTACGTAGACGGTGTTCTGAAGCGGTTCGGCATGAGCGATTGCAAAGCTGTCATCAGCCTAACGGACATCACCCCTCGACTCCACCAAGTAACGCAGCGACCAATATCGACGCTCTGTTTCATCAAGCAGTGGGTGCCTTAATGCACTTGACGACCGCGACACGACCGGGCATTGCCTTAACTGTGAGCTATGTTTCGCGCTTCATGGAGAAACCGCAAGTCGAGCACTGGATGGCGGTCAAGCGTATTGTGCAATGCTTGCATGGATCCAAATTGCACGGCATCTGCTCCAAACTCGGCGGCAAGGTGGATTTCTACGGCTACTCGGATGCAGACTGGGCCGGCAACCATGTGAATCGCAAGTCTACTTAGAGAGACGCACTCATGATTCTATGTGCTCCGGTGAGCTGGGGTAGCAAGAAGCAACCAAGTGTGTAATTGTCAACAAGTGAAGCCGAGTATATCGCTCTAATTCTGGCCATTCAAGAAGGCAAGTGGGTGCATCGCTTGCTGCGCGATAATTTTCTGGCTACCGCAGCGGACAAGTCCGAGCTCAAGGTTATGGAAGACAACCAGTCCTGCATCAAGATGACGAAGGACTTGGTGATCCATGGTAAAGCCAAGAGCATCAAAATCAAGTACCATTACATCCTTAATGAGGTTAAGTGCGGGAAAGTCAAGCTGGAATCTTGTGAGACGACGAATATATTGGCGGACATCATGACGAAGGGGCTACTAGGACCACGGCACAAAGACATGACGGCGGCTCTCGGCATTCACGCAAATTTGCATTGAGGGTGCGCATTGAGGGTGCGCATTGAAGGTTACTGGTACAATCCGATCTTCGAGCGTAGTGCATACGGAATAGTTTTTATGTCGGTGATTACTTCAGAATTGGTTAGACGCGTAGGATGATTGGACGCGTGTAAATCAGGTTGATTAAATGCACCATGGGATTGGATGCAGTCAAGCGTAGGCAGAGTTGATACCTATAAATCAATCACTTCTAAACATTCCTCCTACAGAACAAGTCGTCTTTACTTTGTGGTGTAGACTTCTTTAGCTTTCTTGAAGCGACAGCTTTTCAGCATGGAGATAGCGGAAAGCGGCAATGTCATGCATCATTTTAATGAAGTCCTCAACATCAGAGCGAATCTCAGCAGCATCAGCGCCAAGATGGAGGACGAGGACGTAGCGATCTTCTTTTGAAGCAATCTCCTCAAGAGCTACGAGAACGTCGTTCTCAACTTGTAGATGAGCAGCGCAAACTGCAACCGTGCGACGCTGTCAACGTTTTGACGAACGATCACATCAAGCGTCAAGGTGCCAAGTCTGCGGCGGTGAAGACTGAAGAAGTGACCAAGGCCTTCAGTACCGAGCGCGAGGTTCGTCGATGCTCGTTCTGCGGAAATCGGGGAGAAGTGGAACGTTGCTGGACCAAGCAGAAGGAAGAAAATCGGGGAGTTTGACGCGGTAGCAATGCTCCTGGACGCGGATCGAATCAAGTCCAGTGGCAAGGATACAACAGCAACAACAACTGCGACTACGATCGAGTAGTGTTTGCTGTTTCACTGGAATGCGTAATTTCAGCGATCAAGAATACGTCTGAGATGTGGGCGAATAGCAGCGGTGCGACGCAACACATCTGCCATGACAAGAACAAGTTCTAATGCCCGGACGAGCGCAATGAAGGCGAAGCGTTGGTCGCAGATGAGAACAAGGAAAGGTCCCACAAAACGGTGAAGAGCGCGATATCAAGAACGCGCTTCACGTCCCAAGAATGAGCATACATCTGCTGTCGATTCCGCAAATCAATAAGAGCTGCAAAGCTTAAGTGATGTTCCATGGTGCCGAGATGAAGATTTTACACAAAGACTCCGAGCAAGTGATGGCAATGGCAGAACTTGTAGACGGAATCGACTGGCTTCGTACACTGCAAAGATCCGTGAATGCTACATTGCGATCATGAGACGAAGATCATCATGCGCGTATAGGCCACGCACCAACTGAGGTCCTGTACAGGATGGTTTCCAAGAACATGATCAAGGATGTCAAGATACCACCAAGATCAAGCGAATCAAGCGTGCGTCGTGGTTGTCAAGAAGAAGAAATGGTGCAGCGACCGTTTCCAAGCGACCCGAACAAGCGTCACTATGATCCGATTGAGCTTCTGCACATCGACACGTGTGACCCGATGGAAGCCGACTCGTTAGTTGGAGCCAAGTAATTGCTGCTGATAGTAGATGAAGGCAGTGGATGCATGATGGGCTTCAGTCTGCGCGCCAAGTTCGACAGTGAAACGTGAATCAAGAAGTACACCGTGGCGGTTCAGATGCAGTTCGACTGCACGGTTAAATATGTTCGGCACAATGGTGCACGTGAGTGTGCGTCGACTTCGCTCAAGGAATTCTACGATGGTCAAGGAATCGAGCAGAAGGTCACCGTTACACATGCGCACTAGACTAATGGCAAAGCAAAACAAGAGATTCGGATCATCGGGACAATCGTCCGCAGCTTGCTTCACTACGCAAAACTGGACGAGTGTTTTTGGGCCGAGGCAGCAATGACGGCGATATACATCAAGAATCGCCTGTCTTCGGCCAAGTACCAAGTCCGAACTCCGTTCGAGATCATCAGAGATTGCGGCAAAGTTTGAAGCACATGCGAGCTTTTGAATACCGAGCGTTCGTGTTGACCCCAAAGAAAAGCGATCGAAGTCTTCCCCAACTACCAAGACTGAACTCCGTTCGAGATCATCAAAGGTCGCGGCCAAGTGTGAAGCACATGCGAGTTTTTGAATACCGAGCGTTCGTGTTGACCCCAAAGAAAAGCGATCGAAGTGGGACCCGAAGGCACGAGATGGAAATTCATGGGCTACAAAGACGTGTTGAAAGTATACCGCATTTACGAAATTAAAGCAGATCAAGTGGTAATATCGCGTGATGTCACCTTTGACGAATCAACGTTTGGATTATCACGGGCACTGCCACAAGAAGTTATCGATGACACTGCGCTGGACTTCGACGCGATGGACATCAGTGATGAGCTTTGCACCATGCAGTTCAGGCACAATAGAAAGCGGAAGAGCCGTTCAAACTGCCATGAAAAAGTCTATCAACGGACACTTCCTAATCGCAGTGGAGCCGGGTTGAAAGAAGCAAGTGCACCAGATCATTTTTGAGTCGCGTCAAGCGAAACGGCGCTAAAGAACTCGCTCCAATCTAGACGAAGAGCGAAAAGGCGGTGATGAAGATGACGATGATGAGTCTCCTCTAGTCTTCTGGCAAGCAAGTGCCAATGCAGCCAAAGGTACTGACTTGTCCGAGCCGACAGCGTTTCAACACGCGGGTAGTGGTCCGGATCGAGTTCATTGTCGTAATGCGATTTGCGCGAGTTGGACTCAATGAAGCTACGTGGCGTGTTCCGAGGGACCAAGCTGCCAGCTGGACAGCACACCATTGGTACCAAGTGGGTGTTTAAGATCGAGCGCGAGACTGATGAACCGATCGAAACGTACAAGGTGCGTTTCGTGGCAAAAGGGTTCAAGACAAGAAATGACATTGACTTCACAGAGACGTTCTCGCCAGGCGTCAAGTATGTGACACTTCGCGTGGTGATAGTGATCACGAGTACTTTTACTGGACGCTGGAACAGCTAGCTGTGGTGACAGCTTATCTGCATGATGAAATAAAGGGACCAGTGTTTTGCGCGGTCCCAGAGGGTGTAGAAGTCACTGAAGACTTTGACTGCTTTGAGATGGTGAAAGCAATCTACAGACTGAACAAGCTTCACGGGTGTGGAAAGAAACGTTCCATGAGCTCGTCTGCTCTATCGGATTTCAAGCGTCCGACTTTGACCCATGCATCTATTTCAAGGTCGCAAGCGGACAGTGCGTGTTTGATGGTCTACGTCGATGATGTGTTGGTGACTGGAAGCTCGACCGAAATGATTGCGCGTACGACTTGAAGTCGCATTTCGAGATGACTGACAGAGGCAAGTGTTCTTTTGTGTTGGGTATCGAGATGGTAAAGGATGAAGGCAGCGTGACGATGTGCAAACGACGATACGTAGACGGTGTTCTTGTTGCATGGTGTGAAGCTTGACGACCGAAACTGGGAGGGATGCTGGGAGTCCACTCGGAAGACCGGAGAAGACACTTGAGGGGTAGATGGAAGATGTGTAGTCGATGCCGTACTTCTGCTTGAAGCCCTTGGCAACGAGACGCGCCTTGTATTTCTCGACCGATCCATCCGCTTTGCGCTTGATCTTGAACACCCACTTGGTGCCGATCGCGCCTTGGCCTCTTGGCAGTTTTTCCGCACGGAAAACTCCACGAAGATGCATCGACTTGAGTTCCGTCTTCACAGCATTTCGCCAGTGAGCTTAATCAGGACTATTAATCGCGTCTTGAAAAGTCACAGGTTCTGCTAGGTCCGTTGCTTCCACTGCGTTTGCACTTGCACGCCAAAATGTTGGAGGCGTCGAGTCGTCATCTTGATCGTAGACGCTCGCGTCTTCTTCGTCATCAGACATCGTTTCTGGAGCACTTGATCGTCGTTTCTGGTGACGGTTGGAGACGTGTTCCGGCGCACTTGCTTGTTCCAACCCAGTTCGAGGGCGAGCTGAACGTGACATGCCGGGTCTTGCTTCACTCTTGCGCTTGCCAGTCTGCTTGTAGACGGTTTGACGCACGTCGTCCTCGTTGATCGCCAGGAGGTCGAGGTCCAACTCCGCATCTTCATCATCGTCACTTGGTCGGTCCATCGAAAAGTTAAAAGTCGATTCGTCGAAGGTGATGTCAGACTGATCACCACTTGGCCCGCCTCAATGTCGTACACTCGATAAGCTTTTGACGCTTCTTCGTAGCCCATGAACATCCCTTCACGAGCCTTCGGGTCCCACTTCAATCGCTTCTCCCTTTGTGTCAGGATAAACGCCCGACATCCAAACACGCGCATGTGCTTGACACTTGGTTTCGACTTGTACACGATCTCGAACGGAGTCTTGTGGTCGATCTTGGGTGAAGGCAGGCGGTTCTTGACGTAGATCGCCGTCATTGCCGCTTCAGCCCAGAAACACTTCTCCAGCTTTGCATGATGCAACAAGCTGCGTCCGATCGTGACGATGGTCCTTATCGCGCGTTCTGCGGTGCCGTTGGTCTGGTGTGCATACGGCACCGTGACCTGTTGTTCGATACCATGACCTTCGTAGAAGGTCTTGATCGAGCTGGTCGCAAACTCATGCGCTTCATCGTGCCGAACAAACTTGATCTTCGTGCCGAACTGAGTCTGAATCTTGATAATGTGGTTCTTGATACAGTCTTTACTCTCAGACTTGGACCGCAGACAGAAGCCCTTCATGCAACCGCTGGCTTCGCCAACCACAAGCAGTAAGTATCTGCTGCCGCCGATCGAGACTTGTTCCATTGGCCCGCAGATGTCGAAGTGCAGCAACTCGAACACACCATATTGACGTTTGTCACGGTTGGTTGGGAATGGTTTCTGGACCATCTTTCCTTGCTGGCAACCGCGACACACACTTGAACCAGTCGAGTTGAGAGGTGCCTTGGCGTCCTTGATCATGCCGGTGGCCACCATCTTGCGCAGAACTTCAAGGGGTGCATGACCCATGCGCGCATGCAAGTCGATAGTCCCATTGCGTGTTGCTACATTTGCCGATCGTTGAGGATTCCGCAGCCAGTAAAGTCCATCGACAAGATCCGCTGTTGCCACGAGTTGTGTGGAATTCTTGCGCTTCACTTGCATCTTGGACCCATCGAACACGACTTGGAATTTGCCACCCTTGTTGATCTGTGGCACCGAAAGCAGATTCTTGCTCATACTTGGTACGAACAGCGCGTCCTTGATCTCGATGTCGCGTTCGTCACCATTGGGCAGAACCACCCGTTCCATGAAGGTTCCCACACCCTTGATCGCAGCCTTGCTGCCATCAGCCACTGATAATTCGCCTTCCTCTCGCTCATTCAGGCTTGCAAACTTGGCTTTGTCGTTGCAGATGTGATGCGTCGCACCGCTGTCGACTGCCCACATCCCTGGCATATTCTTGCCCGTCGAAAGTCCAGCCTCCAGCGAAACCGCGAACGCAACTCGATCGTAGTTGTCGTCGTAGTTGCTGTTGGTTCGCCACTGAACGTTGTTGGCTCCGCGTCCACGAGCATTGTTGCCGCCGCGTCGAGCTCCACCTTGATTTTCGTTCTTCTGCTTGGTCCAGCATCGGTCCATTGTATGCCCCAGTTTTCCGCAGTACGTGCAATGATGCGGTTCACGCTCGGTGCTAAACGCCTTGGCCGCGTCTTCAGTCTTCACCGATGTCGTCTTGTCACCTTGCCGCTTGACATGCTCGTTCGTGAGCACTTTCACGACGTCCCGCGATCGAAGCTCTGCGCTGCTCATCTCCAAGTTGAGAACCACGTTCTCGAAACTCTTGGGCAGACTGCGCAGTAAGCAGATCGCAACGTCCTCGTCCTCCATCTTGGCGCCGATACTAGCCAGCTTTGCGCTGATGTTGAGGACCTCATTGCAATGATGCAACACATTGCCGCTCTGTCATCTCCATACTGAAGAGCTGGCGCTTCAAGTAGATGCGCCCAGCCTTCTGAGATCCGCCGTACAGTGTCTTGATCCGCGCCCACGCAACCCATGCTTCCTCACAATCATCAACCATGTGATGATAGTCCGCGCTTATGTGAAGCAGCATCAAGCCGAACGCAATGTTGTTCGTCTTGACGTACTCATCACTGGCGCGAGGATCGGCGAAGGTCGGCGACGTCTCCCGGTTCACCACGTGCCACGTCGACTTGGTCAGGAACACGCCACGCATGTAGCGGCTCCATGTCGCGTAGTTGTCGCCGTCGAACTTGTCAATGGAGATCTTGGTCGTGGCATCATGAGCAGAGGACATCGTGCTTAGGCTCATAACCTGTTGCATGGTGTGAAGCTTGACGACCAAAACTGGGAGGGATGCTGGGAGTCCACTCGGAAGACCGGAGAAGACACTTGAGGGGTAGATGGAAGATTGGAAAGTGATTGATTCATAGGTCTTAACTCTGCCTACCCTAGACTGCATCCAATCACATGGTGCATCTAATCAACCTGATTTACACACGTCTAATCATCCTACGCGTCCAATCATCTCTGAGGTAATTACCGACGTAAAAACTATCCCGTAAAAACTACGCTTAAGCTCGGATTGTATCGGTAATCCTCAATACGCCCCCTCAATCCGAACTTGCACGAATGCCGAGAGCCGTCGTCAAGTCCTTGTGGCGAGGTCCCGAAAGTCCCTTGGTCATGATGTCCGCCATCATCACGGAAGTCTCGCAATACTCGAGCTGCACTTCACCGCGCTTGACCTCATCACGGATGTGATGGTACTTGATGTCGATGTGCTTGGCGCGGCCATGATTCACCTGATTCTTCGTCATCTTGATGCACGACTGGTTGTCTTCACGGATGACGAGATCCGGTCCTGGTTCGTTTGCGGCCGCCAAAATCTCGCACAACAGACGATGTATCCACTTGCCTTCCTGGATGACCGGACTCAGTGCAATGTATTCCGCTTCACTCGTCGACAACGACACACTTGACTGCTTCTTGCTTCCCCAACTCACAGGGGCACCCATCAGCATGAAAGTGTAACCCGAAGTCGACTTGCGATCAGCGTGGTCGCCGGCCCAGTCCGCGTCCGAGTAGCCACGAAAGTCGATCTTGTCGCTTGGCTGGAAGCGGAGTCCGTGCGACTTGGTCCCTTGTAATTAACGAAAGATGCGCTTCACCGCCGTCCAATGTTCTTGCTGCGGATTCTCCATGAAGCGCGAGACATACCCCACAGCATACGCAATGTATGGGCGCGTCGCAGTCGTCAAGTGCATCAAAGCTCCCACAGCTTCACGAAACGGAACGTCGATCTTGGCCGCTTCGCTGCTTGCGACAAGCCGAGTGCTCAAATCGACCGGACTTGCTGTGGCCTTGCACTCATCCATGCCGAAGCGCTTGAGGATGTCGTTGACATACCGTCGCTGGCACATCGTCACGCTGCCATCCGATTCGTCCACCAGCTCGATGCCCAGCACAAAAGTACACTTGCCACTGTCAGTCATCTCGAAACGCGTCTTGAGGTCGGCCTTCGTCTGCGCAATCAACTCGAGCGAGCTGCCGGTGACCAACACGTCATCCACGTAGACCAGCACGAGCACACAGTGACCGTCGACAACCTTGATGTAGAGACATGGGTCGAACGCCGACACTTCGAAACCGATAAAGCATACGAACTCGTCGAAAGTCTCGTTCTACACACGTGAAGCTTGCTTGAGACCGTAGATCGCCTTCACCAACTCGAGACAGTCAAAGTCGCCATCCATCTCGACGCCTTCTGGTATCACGCAGTACACCTTCTCCTTCATCACTCCGTAGAGAAAGGCTGTCACCACATCGAGTTGGTCCAGTGGCCAGTCGAAATACTTGGTGATCGCGATCACCACACGCAGTGTCACGTACTTGACCACGGACGAGAACGTCTCTGTGTAGTCGATGCCGTACTTCTGCTTGAAGCCCTTGGCAACGAGACGCGCCTTGTATTTCTCGACCGATCCATCCGCTTTGCGCTTGATCTTGAACACACACTTGGTGCCGATCGCGCCTTGGCCTCTTAGCAGTTTTGCCGCACGGAAAACTCCACGAAGATGCATCGACTTGAGTTCCGTCTTCACAGCATTTCGCCAGTGAGCTTGATCAGGACCATTGATCGCGTCTTGAAAAGTCACAGGTTCTGCTAGGTCCGTTGCTTCCACTGCGTTTGCACTTGCACGCCAAAATGTTGGAGGCGTCGAGTCGTCATCTTGATCGTAGACGCTCGCGTCTTCTTCGTCATCAGACATCGTTTCTGGAGCACTTGATCGTCGTTTCTGGTGACGGTTGGAGACGTGTTCCGGCGCGCTTGCTTGTTCCGACCCAGTTCGAGGGCGAGCTGAACGTGACATGCCGGGTCTTGCTTCACTCTTGCGCTTGCCAGTCTTGCTTGTAGACGGTTTGACGCACGTCGTCCTCGTTGATCGCCAGGAGGTCGAGGTCCAACTCCGCATCTTCATCATCGTCACTTGGTCGGTCCATCGAAAAGTCAAAAGTCGATTCGTCGAAGGTGATGTCAGACTGATCACCACTTGGCCCGCCTCAATGTCGTACACTCGATAAGCTTTTGACGCTTCTTCGTAGCCCATGAACATCCCTTAACGAGCCTTCGGGTCCCACTTCAATCGCTTCTCCCTTGGTGTCAGGATAAACGCCCGACATCCAAACACGCGCATGTGCTTGACACTTGGTTTCGACTTGTACACGATCTCGAACGGAGTCTTGTGGTCGATCTTGGGTGAAGGCAGGCGGTTCTTGATGTAGATCGCCGTCACTGCCGCTTCAGCCCAGAAACACTTCTCCAGCTTTGCATGATGCAACAAGCTGCGTCCGATCGTGACGATGGTCCTTATTGCGCGTTCTGCGGTGCCGTTGGTCTGGTGTGCATACGGCACCGTGACCTGTTGTTCGATACCATGATCTTCGTAGAAGGTCTTGATCGAGCTGGTCGCAAACTCATGCGCTCCATCGTGCCGAACAAACTTGATCTTCGTGCCGAACTGAGTCTGAATCTTGATAATGTGGTTCTTGATACAGTCTTTACTCTCAGACTTGGACCGCAGACAGAAGCCCTTCATGCAACCGCTGGCTTCGTCAACCACGAGCAGTAAGTATCTGCTGCCGCCGATCGAGACTTGTTCCATTGGCCCGCAGATGTCGAAGTGCAGCAACTCGAACACACCATATTGACGTTTGTCACGGTTGGTTGGGAATGGTTTCTGGACCATCTTTCCTTGCTTGCAACCGCGACACACACTTGAACCAGTCGAGTTGAGAGGTTCCTTGGCGTCCTTGATCATGCCGGTGGCCACCATCTTGCGCAGAACTTCAAGGGGTGCATGACCCATGCGCGCATGCAAGTCGATAGTCCCATTGCGTGTTGCTGCATTTGCCGATCGTTGAGGAGTCCGCAGCCAGTAAAGTCCATCGACAAGATCCGCTGTTGCCACGAGTTGTGTGGAATTCTTGCGCTTCACTTTCATCTTGGACCCATCGAACACGACTTGGAATTTGCCACCCTTCTTGATCTGTGGCATCGAAAGCAGATTATTGCTCATACTTGGTACGAACAGCGCGTCCTTGATCTCGATGTCGCGTTCGTCACCATTGGGCAGAACCACCCGTTCCATAAAGGTTCCCACACCCTTGATCGCAGCCTTGCTGCCATCAGCCACTGATAATTCGCCTTCCTCTCGCTCATTCAGGCTTGCAAACTTGGTCTTGTCGTTGCAGATGTGATGCGTCGCACCGCTGTCGACTGCCCACATCCCTGGCATATTCTTGCCCGTCGATAATCCACACTCAAGCGAAACCGCGAATGCAACTCGATCGTAGTTGTCGTCGTAGTTGCTGTTGGTTCGCCACTGAACGTTGTTGGCTCCGCGTCCACGAGCATTGTTGCCGCCGCGTCGAGCTCCACCTTGATTTTCGTCCTTCTGCTTGGTCCAGTATCGGTCCACCGTATGCCCCAATTTTCCGCAGTACGTGCAATGATGCGGTTCACGCTCGGTACTGAACGCCTTGGCCGCGTCTTCAGTCTTCACCACCGTAGCCTTCGCACCTTGCCGCTTGACATGCTCGTTCGTGAGCACTTTCACGACGTCCCGCGATTGAAGCTCTGCGCTGCTCATCTCCAAGTTGAGAACCACGTTCTCGAAACTCTTGGGCAGACTGCGCAGTAAGCAGATCGCAACGTCCTCGTCCTCCATCTTGGCGCCGATGCTAGCCAGCTTCGCGCTGATGTTGAGGACCTCATTGCAATGATGCAACACATTGCAGCTCTGTCATCTCCATACTGAAAATCTGGCGCTTCAGGTAGATACGCCCAGCCTTCTGCGACCCGCCGTACAGCGTCTTCAAACGCGCCCACGCAACCCACGCCTCCTCACAGTCATCGACGATGTGATGGTAGTCCGCGCTCATGTGAAGCAGCATCAGTCCGAACGCGATGGTGTTCATCTTGACGTACTCATCACTGGCGCGATCGTCCGCGTAGGTCGGCGACGTCTCCCGGTTCACCACGTGCCACGTCGACTTGGTCAGGAACACGCCACGCATGTAGCGGCTCCATGTCGCGTAGTTGTCGCCGTCGAACTTGTCAATGGAGATCTTGGTCGTGGCATCATGAGCAGAGGACATCGTGCTTAGGCTCATAACCTGTTGCATGGTGTGAAGCTTGACGACCAAAACTGGGAGGGATGCTGGGAGTCCACTCGGAAGACCGGAGAAGACACTTGAGGGGTAGATGGAAGATTGGAAAGTGATTGATTCATAGGTCTTAACTCTGCCTACCCTAGACTGCATCCAATCACATGGTGCATCGAATCAACCTGATTTACACACGTCTAATCATCCTACGCGTCCAATCATCTCTGAGGTGATTACCGAAGTAAAAACTATCCCGTAAAAACTACGCTTAAGCTCGGACTGTATCGGTAACCCTCAATAGTAAAGGATGAAAACAGCGTGGCGATGTGCAAACGACGCTACTTAGACGGTGTTCTGAAGCGGTTCGGCATGAGAGATTGCGAAGCCGTCATCAGCCTAACGGACATCACCCCTCGACTCCACCAAGTAACGCAGCGACCAATACCGACGCTCCGTTTCATCAAGCAGTGGGTGCCTTGATGCACTTGACGACCGCGACACGACCGGACATTGCCTTTACTGTGAGCTATGTTTCGCGCTTCATGGGGAAACCACAAGTCGAGCACTGGATGGCGGTCAAGCGTATTGTGCAATGCTTGCATGGATCCAAATCGCACGGCATCTGCTCCAAACTCGGCGGCAAGGTGGATTTCTACGGCTACTCGGATGCAGCCTGGGCCGGCAACCATGTGAATCGCAAGTCTACTTAGAGAGACGCATTCATGATTCTATGTGCTCCGGTGAGCTGGGGTAGCAAGAAGCAACCAAGTGTGTAATTGTCAACAAGTGAAGCCGAGTACATCGCTCTAATTCTGGCCATTCAAGAAGGCAAGTGGGTGCATTGCTTGCTGCGCGATAATTTTCTGGCTACCGCAGCGGACAAGTCCCAGCTCAAGCTTATGGAAGACAACCAGTCCTGCATCAAGATGACGAAGGACTTGGTGATCCATGGTAAAGCCAAGAACATCAAAATCAAGTACCATTACATCCTTAATGAGGTTAAGTGCGGGAAAGTCAAGCTGAAATCTAGTGAGACGACGAATATATTGGCGTATAGCATGACGAAGAGACTACTAGAACCACGCCACAAAGACATGACGACGGCTCTCGACATTCACGAAGGTTTGCATTGAGAGTGTGTATTGAAGGTTACTGGTACAATCCGAACTTAAGCGTAGTTTTTACGGGATAGTTTTTACGTCGGTAATTACCTCAGAGATGATTGGACGCGTAGGATGATTAGACGTGTGTAAATCAGGTTGATTAGATGCACCATGTGATTGGATGCAGTCTAGGGTAGGCAGAGTTAAGACCTATGAATCAATCACTTTCCAATCTTCCATCTACCCCTCAAGTGTCTTCTCCGGTCTTCCGAGTGGACTCCCAGCATCCCTCCCAGTTTTGGTCGTCAAGCTTCACACCATGCAACAGGTTATGAGCCTAAGCACGATGTCCTCTGCTCATGATGCCACGACCAAGATCTCCATTGACAAGTTCGACGGCGACAACTACGCGACATGGAGCCGCTACATGCGTGGCGTGTTCCTGACCAAGTCGACGTGGCACGTGGTGAACCGGGAGACGTCGCCGACCTACGCGGACGATCGCGCCAGTGATGAGTACGTCAAGACGAACACCATCGCGTTCGGACTGATGCTGCTTCACATGAGCGCGGACTACCATCACATCGTCGATGACTGTGAGGAGGCGTGGGTTGCGTGGGCGCGTTTGAAGACGCTGTACAGCGGGTCGCAGAAGGCTGGGCGCATCTACTTGAAGCGCCAGCTGTTCAGCATGGAGATGGCGGACAATGTGATGCATCATTGCAATGAAGTCCTCAACATCAGCGCGAAGCTCAGCAGCATCGGCGCCAAGATGGAGGACGAGGACGTGGCGATCTGCTTGTTGCGCAGCCTCCCCAAGAGCTACGAGAACGTCGTTCTCAACTTGGAGATGAGCAGCGCGGAACTGCGATCGCGAGACGTCGTGAGAGTGCTCACGAATGAGCACATCAAGAGGCAAGGTGACAAGACGACATCGGTGAAGACTGAAGACGCGGCGAAGGCGTTCAGTGCCGAGCGTAAACCTCGCCAGTGTACATACTGCGGGAAATTGGGGCACACGGCGGAGCGGTGCTGGACCAAGCAGAAGGACGAAAATCAAGGTGGAGCTCGACGCGGCGGCAACAATGCTCGTGGACGCGGAGCCAACAACGTTCAGTGGCGAACCAACAGCAACTACGACGACAACTACGATCGAGTTGCATTCGCGGTTTCGCTGGAGTCTGGACTTTCGACGGGCAAGAATATGCCAGGGATGTGGGCAGTCGACAGCGGTGCGACGCATCACATCTGCAACGACAAGGCCAAGTTTGCAATCCTAAATGAGCGAGAGGAAGGCGAACTATCAGTGGCTGATGGCAGCAAGGCTGCGATCAAGGGTGTGGGAACCATCATGGAACGGGTGGTTCTGCCCAATGGTGACGAACGCGACATCGAGATCAAGGACGCGCTGTTCGTACTAAGTATGAGCAAGAATCTGCTTTCGGTGCCACAGATCAAGAAGGGTGGCAAATTCCAAGTCGTGTTCGATGGGTCCAAGATGCAAGTGAAGCGCAAGAATTCCACACAACTCGTGGCAACTGCAGATCTTGTCGATGGACTTTACTGGCTGCGGAATCCTCAACGATCGGCAAATGTAGCAACACGCAATGGGACTATCGACTTGCATGCGCGCATGGGTCATGCACCCCTTGAAGTTCTGCGCAAGATGGTGGCCACCGGCATGATCAAGGACGCCAAGGAACCTCTCAACTAGACTGGTTCAAGTGTGCGTCGCGGTTGCCAGCAAGGAAAGATAATCCAGAAACCATTCCCAACCAACCGTGACAAACGTCAATATGGTGTGTTCGAGTTGCTGAACTTCGACATCTGCGGGCCAATGGAACAAGTCTCGATCGGCGGCAGCAGATACTTACTGCTCGTGGTTGACGAAGCCAGCGGTTGCATGAAGGGCTTCTGTCTGCGGTCCAAGTCTGAGAGTGAAGACTGTATCAAGAACCACATTATCAAGATTCAGACTCAGTTCGGCACGAAGATCAAGTTTGTTCGGCACGATGGAGCGCATGAGTTTGCGACCAACTCGATCAAGACCTTCTACGAAGATCATGGTATCGAACAACAGGTCACGGTGCCGTATGCACACCAGACCAACGGCACCGCAGAACGCGCAATAAGGACCATCGTCACGATCGGACGCAGCTTGTTGCATCATGCAAAGCTGGAGAAGTGTTTCTGGGCTGAAGCGGCAGTGACGGCGATCTAAATCAAGAACCGCCTGCCTTCACCCAAGATCGACCACAAGACTCCGTTCGAGATCGTGTACAAGTCGAAACCAAGTGTCAAGCACATGCGCGTGTTTGGATGTCGGGCGTTTATCCTGACACCAAGGGAGAAGCGATTGAAGTGGGACCCGAAGGCTCGTGAAGGGATGTTCATGGGCTACGAAGAAGCGTCAAAAGCTTATCGAGTGTACGACATTGAGGCGGGCCAAGTGGTGATCAGTCTGACATCACCTTCGACGAATCGACTTTTGACTTTTCGATGGACCGACCAAGTGACGATGATGAAGATGCGGAGTTGGACCTCGACCTCCTGGCGATCAACGAGGACGACGTGCGTCAAACCGTCTACAAGCAAGACTGGCAAGCGCAAGAGTGAAGCAAGACCCGGCATGTCACGTTCAGCTCGCCCTCGAACTGGGTTGGAACAAGCAAGCGCGCCGGAACACGTCTCCAACCGTCACCAGAAACGACGATCAAGTGCTCCAGAAACGATGTCTGATGACGAAGAAGACGCGAGCGTCTACGATCAAGATGACGACTCGACGCCTCCAACATTTTGGCGTGCAAGTGCAAACGCAGTGGAAGCAACGGACCTAGCAGAACCTGTGACTTTTCAAGACGCGATCAATGGTCCTGATCAAGCTCACTGGCGAAATGCTGTGAAGACGGAACTCAAGTCGATGCATCTTCGTGGAGTTTTCCGTGCGGCAAGACTGCTAAGAGGCCAAGGCGCGATCGGCACCAAGTGTGTGTTCAAGATCAAGCGCAAAGCGGATGGATCGGTCGAGAAATACAAGGCGCGTCTCGTTGCCAAGGGCTTCAAGCAGAAGTACGGCATCGACTACACAGAGACGTTCTCGTCCGTGGTCAAGTACGTGACACTGCGTGTGGTGATCGCGATCACCAAGTATTTCGACTGGCCACTGGACCAACTCGATGTGGTGACAGCCTTTCTCTACGGAGTGATGAAGGAGAAGGTGTACTACGTGATACCAGAAGGCGTCGAGATGGATGGCGACTTCGACTGTCTCGAGTTGGTGAAGGCGATCTACGGTCTCAAGCAAGCTTCACGTGTGTAGAACGAGACTTTCGACGAGTTCGTATGCTTTATCGGTTTCGAAGTGTCGGCGTTCGACCCATGTCTCTACATCAAGGTTGTCGACGGTCACTGTGTGCTCGTGCTGGTCTACGTGGATGACGTGTTGGTCACCGGCAGCTCGCTCGAGTTGATTGCGCAGACGAAGGCCGACCTCAAGACGCGTTTCGAGATGACCGACAGTGGCAAGTGTACTTTTGTACTGGGCATCGAGCTGGTGGACGAATCGGATGGCAGCGTGACGATGTGCCAGCGACGGTATGTCAACGACATCCTCAAGCGCTTCGGCATGGATGAGTGCAAGGCCACAGCAAGTCCGGTCGATTTGAGCACTCGGCTTGTCGCAAGCAGCGAAGCGGCCAAGATCGACGTTCCGTTTCGTGAAGCTGTGGGAGCTTTGATGCACTTGACGACTGCGACGCGCCCATACATTGCGTATGCCGTGGGGTATGTCTCGCGCTTCATGGAGAATCCGCAGAAAGAACATTGGACGGCGGTGAAGCGCATCTTTCGTTAATTGCAAGGGACCAAGTCGCACGGACTCCGCTTCCAGCCAAGCGACAAGATCGACTTTCGTGGCTACTCGGACGCGGACTGGGCCGGCGACCACGCTGATCGCAAGTCGACTTCGGGTTACACTTTCATGCTGATGGGTGCCCCTATGAGTTGGGGAAGCAAGAAGCAGTCAAGTGTGTCGTTGTCGACGAGTGAAGCGGAATATATCGCGCTAAGTCTGGTCATCCAGGAAGGCAAGTGGATACATCGTCTGTTGTGCGAGATTTTGGCGGCCGCAAACGAACCAGGACCGGATCTCGTCATCCGTGAAGACAACCAGTCGTGCATCAAGATGACGAAGAATCAGGTGAATCATGGCCGCGCCAAGCACATCGACATCAAGTACCATCACATCCGTGATGAGGTCAAGCGCGGTGAAGTGCAGCTCGAGTATTGCGAGACTTCCGTGATGATGGCGGACATCATGACCAAGGGACTTTCGGGACCTCGCCACAAGGACTTGACGACGGCTCTCGGCATTCGTGCAAGTTCGGATTGAGGGGGCGTATTGAGGGTTACCGATACAATCCGAACTTAAGCGTAGTTTTTACGGGATAGTTTTTACTTCGGTAATTACCTCAGAGATGATTGGACGCGTAGGATGATTAGACGTGTGTAAATCAGGTTGATTAGATGCACCATGTGATTGGATGCAGTCTAGGGTAGGCAGAGTTAAGACCTATGAATCAATCACTTTCCAATCTTCCATCTACCCCTCAAGTGTCTTCTCCGGTCTTCCGAGTGGACTCCCAGCATCCCTCCCAGTTTCGGTCGTCAAGCTTCACACCATGCAACAGGTTATGAGCCTAAGCACGATGTCCTCTGCTCATGATGCCACGACCAAGATCTCCATTGACAAGTTCGACGGCGACAACTACGCGACATGGAGCCGCTACATGCGTGGCGTGTTCCTGACCAAGTCGACGTGGCACGTGGTGAACCGGGAGACCACCCCCACCTTTGCCGATCCTCGCGCCAGTGATGAGTACGTCAAGATGAACAACATTGCGTTCGGCTTGATGCTGCTTCACATAAGCGTGGACTATCATCACGTCGTCGATGACTGTGAGGAGGCGTGGGTTGCGTGGGCGCGTTTGAAGACGCTGTACGGCGGGTCGCAGAAGGCTGGGCGCATCTACTTGAAGCGCCAGCTGTTCAGCATGGAGATGACGGACAATGTGATGCATCATTGCAATGAAGTCCTCAACATCAGCGCGAAGCTCAGCAGCATCGGCGCCAAGATGGAGGACGAGGACGTGGCGATCCGCTTGTTGCGCAGCCTCCCCAAGAGCTACGAGAACGTCGTTCTCAACTTGTAGATGAGCAGCGCAAACTGCAACTGCGCGACGCTGTCAATGTGTTGACGAACGATCATATCAAGCGTCAAGGTGCCAAGTCTGCGGCGGTGAAGACTGAAGAAGTGACCAAGGCGTTCAGTACCGAGCGCAAGGTTCGTCGGTGCTCGTTCTGCGGAAATTGGGGAGAAGTGGAACGTTGCTGGACCAAGCAGAAGGACGAAAATCAAGGTGGAGCTCGACGCGGCGGCAACAATGCTCGTGGACGCGGAGCCAACAACGTTCAGTGGCGAACCAACAACAACAACAACGACGACAACTACGATCGAGTTGCGTTCGCGGTTTCGCTGGAGGCTGGACTTTCGACGGGCGAGAATATGCCAGGGATGTGGGCAGTCGACAGCGGTGCGACGCATCACATCTGCAACGACAAGGCCAAGCTTGCAATCCTAAATGAGCGAGAGGAAGGCGAACTATCAGTGGCTGATGGCAGCAAGGCTGCGATCAAGGGTGTGGGAACCATCATGGAACGGGTGGTTCTGCCCAATGTTGAAGAACGCGACATCGAGATCAAGGACGCGCTGTTCGTACTAAGTATGAGCAAGAATCTGCTTTCGGTGCCACAGATCAAGAAGGGTGGCAAATTCCAAGTCGTGTTCGATGGGTCCAAGATGCAAGTGAAGCGCAAGAATTCCACACAACTCGTGGCAACAGCGGATCTTGTCGATGGACTTTACTGGCTGCGGAATCCTCAACGATCGGCAAATGTAGCAACACGCAATGGGACTATCGACTTGCATGCGCGCATGGGTCATGCACCCCTTGAAGTTCTGCGCAAGATGGTGGCCACCGGCATGATCAAGGACGCCAAGGAACCTCTCAACTCGACTGGTTCAAGTGTGTGTCGCGGTTGCAAGCAAGGAAAGATGGTCCAGAAACCATTCCCAACCAACCGTGACAAACGTCAATATGGTGTGTTCGAGTTGCTGAACTTCGACATCTGCGGGCCAATGGAACAAGTCTCGATCGGCGGCAGCAGATACTTACTGCTCGTGGTTGACGAAGCCAGCGGTTGCATGAAGGGCTTCTGTCTGCGGTCCAAGTCTGAGAGTAAAGACTGTATCAAGAACCACATTATCAAGATTCAGACTCAGTTCGGCACGAAGATCAAGTTTGTTCGGCACGATGGAGCGCATGAGTTTGCGACCAGCTCGATCAAGACCTTCTACGAAGATCATGGTATCGAACAACAGGTCACGGTGCCGTATGCACACCAGACCAACGGCACCGCAGAACGCGCAATAAGGACCATCGTCACGATCGGACGCAGCTTGTTGCATCATGCAAAGCTGGAGAAGTGTTTCTGGGCTGAAGCGGCAGTGACGGCGATCTACATCAAGAACCGCCTGCCTTCACCCAAGATCGACCACAAGACTCCGTTCGAGATCGTGTACAAGTCGAAACCAAGTGTCAAGCACATGCGCGTGTTTGGATGTCGGGCGTTTATCCTGACACCAAGGGAGAAGCGATTGAAGTGGGACCCGAAGGCTCGTGAAGGGATGTTCATGGGCTACGAAGAAGCGTCAAAAGCTTATCGAGTGTACGACATTGAGGCGGGCCAAGTGGTGATCAGTCGTGACATCACCTTCGACGAATCGACTTTTAACTTTTCGATGGACCGACCAAGTGACGATGATGAAGATGCGGAGTTGGACCTCGACCTCCTGGCGATCAACGAGGACGACGTGCGTCAAACCGTCTACAAGCAGACTGGCAAGCGCAAGAGTGAAGCAAGACCCGGCATGTCACGTTCAGCTCGCCCTCGAACTGGGTTGGAACAAGCAAGCGCGCCGGAACACGTCTCCAACCGTCACCAGAAACGACGATCAAGTGCTCCAGAAACGATGTCTGATGACGAAGAAGACGCGAGCGTCTACGATCAAGATGACGACTCGACGCCTCCAACATTTTGGCGTGCAAGTGCAAACGCAGTGGAAGCAACGGACCTAGCAGAACCTGTGACTTTTCAAGACGCGATCAATGGTCCTGATCAAGCTCACTGGCGAAATGCTGTGAAGACGGAACTCAAGTCGATGCATCTTCGTGGATTTTTCCGTGCGGCAAAACTGCCAAGAGGCCAAGGCGCGATCGGCACCAAGTGGGTGTTCAAGATCAAGCGCAAAGCGGATAGATCGGTCGAGAAATACAAGGCGCGTCTCGTTGCCAAGGGCTTCAAGCAGAAGTACGGCATCGACTACACAGAGACGTTCTCGTCCGTGGTCAAGTACGTGACACTGCGTGTGGTGATCGCGATCACCAAGTATTTCGACTGGCCACTGGACCAACTCGATGTGGTGACAGCCTTTCTCTACGGAGTGATGAAGGAGAAGGTGTACTACGTGATACCAGAAGGCGTCGAGATGGATGGCGACTTCGACTGTCTCGAGTTGGTGAAGGCGATCTACGGTCTCAAGCAAGCTTCACGTGTGTGGAACGAGACTTTCGACGAGTTCTTATGCTTTATCGGTTTCGAAGTGTCGGCGTTCGACCCATGTCTCTACATCAAGGTTGTCGACGGTCACTGTGTGCTCGTGCTGGTCTACGTGGATGACGTGTTGGTCACCGGCAGCTCGCTCGAGTTGATTGCGCAGACGAAGGCCGACCTCAAGACGCGTTTCGAGATGACCGACAGTGGCAAGTGTACTTTTGTACTGGGCATCGAGCTGGTGGACGAATCGGATGGCAGCGTGACGATGTGCCAGCGACGGTATGTCAACGACATCCTCAAGCGCTTCGGCATGGATGAGTGCAAGGCCACAGCAAGTCCGGTCGATTTGAGCACTCGGCTTGTCGCAAGCAGCGAAGCGGCCAAGATCGACGTTCCGTTTCGTGAAGCTGTGGGAGCTTTGATGCACTTGACGACTGCGACGCGCCCATACATTGCGTATGCCGTGGGGTATGTCTCGCGCTTCATGGAGAATCCGCAGAAAGAACATTGGACGGCGGTGAAGCGCATCTTTCGTTAATTGCAAGGGACCAAGTCGCACGGACTCCGCTTCCAGCCAAGCGACAAGATCGACTTTCGTGGCTACTCGGACGCGGACTGGGCCGGCGACCACGCTGATCGCAAGTCGACTTCGGGTTACACTTTCATGCTGATGGGTGCCCCTATGAGTTGGGGAAGCAAGAAGCAGTCAAGTGTGTCGTTGTCGACGAGTGAAGCGGAATACATTGCACTGAGTCCGGTCATCCAGGAAGGCAAGTGGGTGCATCGTCTGCTATGCGAGATTTTGGCGGCCGCAAACGAACCAGGACCGGATCTCGTCATCCGTGAAGACAACCAGTCGTGCATCAAGATGACGAAGAATCAGGTGAATCATGGCCGCGCCAAGCACATCGACATCAAGTACCATCACATCCGTGATGAGGTCAAGCGCGGTGAAGTGCAGCTCGAGTATTGCGAGACTTCCGTGATGATGGCGGACATCATGACCAAGGGACTTTCGGGACCTCGCCACAAGGACTTGACGACGGCTCTCGGCATTCGTGCAAGTTCGGATTGAGGGGGCGTATTGAGGGTTACCGATACAATCCGAACTTAAGCGTAGTTTTTACGGGATAGTTTTTACTTCGGTAATTACCTCAGAGATGATTGGACGCGTAGGATGATTAGACGTGTGTAAATCAGGTTGATTAGATGCACCATGTGATTGGATGCAGTCTAGGGTAGGCAGAGTTAAGACCTATGAATCAATCACTTTCCAATCTTCCATCTACCCCTCAAGTGTCTTCTCCGGTCTTCCGAGTGGACTCCCAGCATCCCTCCCAGTTTCGGTCGTCAAGCTTCACACCATGCAACAGGTTATGAGCCTAAGCACGATGTCCTCTGCTCATGATGCCACGACCAAGATCTCCATTGACAAGTTCGACGGCGACAACTACGCGACTTGAAGCTACTACATACGTGGCGTGTTCTTTACCAAGTCGACGTGGCACGTGGTGAACCGGGAGACCACCCCCCACCTTTGCCGATCCTCGCGCCAGTGATGAGTACGTCAAGATGAACAACATTGAGTTCGGCTTGATGCTGCTTCACATAAGCGTGGACTATCATCACGTGGTTGATGATTGTGAGGAAGCATGGGTTGCGTGGGCGTGGATCAAGACACTGTACGGCGGATCTCAGAAGGCTGGGCGCATCTACTTGAAGCGCCAGCTCTTCAGTATGGAGATGACAGAGCGGCAATGTGTTGCATCATTGCAATGAGGTCCTCAACATCAGCGCAAAGCTGGCTAGCATCGGCGCCAAGATGTAGGACGAGGACGTTGCGATCTGCTTACTGCGCAGTCTGCCCAAGAGTTTCGAGAACGTGGTTCTCAACTTGGAGATGAGCAGCGCAAACTGCAACTGCGCGACGCTGTCAATGTGTTGACGAACGATCATATCAAGCGTCAAGGTGCCAAGTCTGCGGCGGTGAAGACTGAAGAAGTGACCAAGGCGTTCAGTACCGAGCGCAAGGTTCGTCGGTGCTCGTTCTGCGGAAATTGGGGCACACGGCGGAGCGGTGCTGGACCAAGCAGAAGGACGAAAATCAAGGTGGAGCTCGACGCGGCGGCAACAATGCTCGTGGACGCGGAGCCAACAACGTTCAGTGGCGAACCAACAGCAACTACGACGACAACTACGATCGAGTTGCGTTCGCGGTTTCGCTGGAGGCTGGACTTTCGACGGGCAAGAATATGCCAGGGATGTGGGCAGTCGACAGCGGTGCGACGCATCACATCTGCAACGACAAGGCCAAGCTTGCAATCCTAAATGAGCGAGAGGAAGGCGAACTATCAGTGGCTGATGGCAGCAAGGCTGCGATCAAGGGTGTGGGAACCATCATGGAACGGGTGGTTCTGCCCAATGTTGACGAACGCGACATCGAGATCAAGGACGCGCTGTTCGTACTAAGTATGAGCAAGAATCTGCTTTCGGTGCCACAGATCAAGAAGGGTGGCAAATTCCAAGTCGTGTTCGATGGGTCCAAGATGCAAGTGAAGCGCAAGAATTCCACACAACTCGTGGCAACAGCGGATCTTGTCGATGGACTTTACTGGCTGCGGAATCCTCAACGATCGGCAAATGTAGCAACACGCAATGGGACTATCGACTTGCATGCGCGCATGGGTCATGCACCCCTTGAAGTTCTGCGCAAGATGGTGGCCACCGGCATGATCAAGGACGCCAAGGAACCTCTCAACTAGACTGGTTCAAGTGTGCGTCGCGGTTGCCAGCAAGGAAAGATAATCCAGAAACCATTCCCAACCAACCGTGACAAACGTCAATATGGTGTGTTCGAGTTGCTGCACTTCGACATCTGCGGGCCAATGGAACAAGTCTCGATCGGCGGCAGCAGATACTTACTGCTCGTGGTTGACGAAGCCAGCGGTTGCATGAAGGGCTTCTGTCTGCGGTCCAAGTCTGAGAGTGAAGACTGTATCAAGAACCACATTATCAAGATTCAGACTCAGTTCGGCACGAAGATCAAGTTTGTTCGGCACGATGGAGCGCATGAGTTTGCGACCAACTCGATCAAGACCTTCTACGAAGATCATGGTATCGAACAACAGGTCACGGTGCCGTATGCACACCAGACCAACGGCACCGCAGAACGCGCAATAAGGACCATCGTCACGATCGGACGCAGCTTGTTGCATCATGCAAAGCTGGAGAAGTGTTTCTGGGCTGAAGCGGCAGTGACGGCGATCTACATCAAGAACCGCCTGCCTTCACCCAAGATCGACCACAAGACTCCGTTCGAGATCGTGTACAAGTCGAAACCAAGTGTCAAGCACATGCGCGTGTTTGGATGTCGGGCGTTTATCCTGACACCAAGGGAGAAGCGATTGAAGTGGGACCCGAAGGCTCGTGAAGGGATGTTCATGGGCTACGAAGAAGCGTCAAAAGCTTATCGAGTGTACGACATTGAGGCGGGCCAAGTGGTGATCAGTCGTGACATCACCTTCGACGAATCGACTTTTAACTTTTCGATGGACCGACCAAGTGACGATGATGAAGATGCGGAGTTGGACCTCGACCTCCTGGCGATCAACGAGGACGACGTGCGTCAAACCGTCTACAAGCAGACTGGCAAGCGCAAGAGTGAAGCAAGACCCGGCATGTCACGTTCAGCTCGCCCTCGAACTGGGTTGGAACAAGCAAGCGCGCCGGAACACGTCTCCAACCGTCACCAGAAACGACGATCAAGTGCTCCAGAAACGATGTCTGATGACGAAGAAGACGCGAGCGTCTACGATCAAGATGACGACTCGACGCCTCCAACATTTTGGCGTGCAAGTGCAAACGCAGTGGAAGCAACGGACCTAGCAGAACCTGTGACTTTTCAAGACGCGATCAATGGTCCTGATCAAGCTCACTGGCGAAATGCTGTGAAGACGGAACTCAAGTCGATGCATCTTCGTGGATTTTTCCGTGCGGCAAGACTGCCAAGAGGCCAAGGCGCGATCGGCACCAAGTGGTTGCGAGATGACGCAAAGATCTAAAGAGGACAAGCCGTCTAAGATCGACGAAGCTGACTCCGCAGAAGCACCAGTCTACTATCACGAGAGTGGAGATTTGTTTGCCGACGACATCGAGCAACACCTGGCGGTGTTACAAGAGATGTCCACTGCTACGGAAGAAGTGACAATTAACGACATTCAGATCGGCGATCCGGACGTTCCTCTCACCGCAGATCAACAAAGACTCAGATCGCTGATTTGGAGGAGCCGTCACCTTCTTATGGGGAAGGAAAATGCTCTACCACCAGCGGCACGAGGGGCGATTTGTGATATCGATGTCGGTGGAGCCGCACCAATTGCGCAAAGATTCCGTCCGGTCGCACCCAAATATCGGGAGAAGCTGTCAGATCTCATCAAAAGGACTGTTGGCAGACAAGATCGTTCAGCCATCCACGTCAACTTGGGCGTCTCCGATAGTGGTGATCATCAAGAAGAACGGATTGGACATTCGCCTTTGCATTGATTATCGAAGAGTGAACCAGCTGACGCGACTGATGGTTTATCCCATGCCGTTGATCAGCGATCTGCTGGAAGATCTGGATAAAGCTCTATGGTACTGTTCGCTAGACATGGCTAGTGGATTCTGGGTCGTCGAAATGAACGGTCAACGGAGTCGGATCGAATCCACTCAATGAAACAAATCTATCGTCGAAGGATAACGATCGTGAGATCGAAACCGAGATCGCGATGAGAAGAGATCACGGGACCGAACGAGAAGAACAAGACAACAGACTGTCTTCATTGGACGTCAATCTTGCAGACAACCGAACAGGAATAGATCGGTCCGAGGCGACGCAAAGATCTAAAGAGGACAAGCCGTCTAAGATCGACGAAGCTGACTCCGCAGAAGCACCAGTCTACTATCACGAGAGTGGAGATTTGTTTGCCGACGACATCGAGCAACACCTGGCGGTGTTACAAGAGATGTCCACTGCTACGGAAGAAGTGACAATTAACGACATTCAGATCGGCGATCCGGACGTTCCTCTCACCGCAGATCAACAAAGACTCAGATCGCTGATTTGGAGGAGCCGTCACCTTCTTATGGGGAAGGAAAATGCTCTACCACCAGCGGCACGAGGGGCGATTTGTGATATCGATGTCGGTGGAGCCGCACCAATTGCGCAAAGATTCCGTCCGGTCGCACCCAAATATCGGGAGAAGCTGTCAGATCTCATCAAAAGGACTGTTGGCAGACAAGATCGTTCAGCCATCCACGTCAACTTGGGCGTCTCCGATAGTGGTGATCATCAAGAAGAACGGAGTGGACATTCGCCTTTGCATTGATTATCGAAGAGTGAACCAGCTGACGCGACTGATGGTTTATCCCATGCCGTTGATCAGCGATCTGCTGGAAGATCTGGATAAAGCTCTATGGTACTGTTCGCTAGACATGGCTAGTGGATTCTGGGTCGTCGAAATGAACGGTCAACGGAGTCGGATCGAATCCACTCACTGAAACAAATCTATCGTCGAAGGATAACGATCGTGAGATCGAAACCGAGATCGCGATGAGAAGAGATCACGGGACCGAACGAGAAGAACAAGACAACAGACTGTCTTCATTGGACGTCAATCTTGCAGACAACCGAACAGGAATAGATCGGTCCGAGGCGACGCAAAGATCTAAAGAGGACAAGCCGTCTAAGATCGACGAAGCTGACTCCGCAGAAGCACCAGTCTACTATCACGAGAGTGGAGATTTGTTTGCCGACGACATCGAGCAACACCTGGCGGTGTTACAAGAGATGTCCACTGCTACGGAAGAAGTGACAATTAACGACATTCAGATCGGCGATCCGGACGTTCCTCTCACCGCAGATCAACAAAGACTCAGATCGCTGATTTGGAGGAGCCGTCACCTTCTTATGGGGAAGGAAAATGCTCTACCACCAGCGGCACGAGGGGCGATTTGTGATATCGATGTCGGTGGAGCCGCACCAATTGCGCAAAGATTCCGTCCGGTCGCACCCAAATATCGGGAGAAGCTGTCAGATCTCATCAAAAGGACTGTTGGCAGACAAGATCGTTCAGCCATCCACGTCAACTTGGGCGTCTCCGATAGTGGTGATCATCAAGAAGAACGGAGTGGACATTCGCCTTTGCATTGATTATCGAAGAGTGAACCAGCTGACGCGACTGATGGTTTATCCCATGCCGTTGATCAGCGATCTGCTGGAAGATCTGGATAAAGCTCTATGGTACTGTTCGCTAGACATGGCTAGTGGATTCTGGGTCGTCGAAATGAACGGTCAACGGAGTCGGATCGAATCCACTCACTGAAACAAATCTATCGTCGAAGGATAACGATCGTGAGATCGAAACCGAGATCGCGATGAGAAGAGATCACGGGACCGAACGAGAAGAACAAGACAACAGACTGTCTTCATTGGACGTCAATCTTGCAGACAACCGAACAGGAATAGATCGGTCCGAGGCGACGCAAAGATCTAAAGAGGACAAGCCGTCTAAGATCGACGAAGCTGACTCCGCAGAAGCACCAGTCTACTATCACGAGAGTGGAGATTTGTTTGCCGACGACATCGAGCAACACCTGGCGGTGTTACAAGAGATGTCCACTGCTACGGAAGAAGTGACAATTAACGACATTCAGATCGGCGATCCGGACGTTCCTCTCACCGCAGATCAACAAAGACTCAGATCGCTGATTTGGAGGAGCCGTCACCTTCTTATGGGGAAGGAAAATGCTCTACCACCAGCGGCACGAGGGGCGATTTGTGATATCGATGTCGGTGGAGCCGCACCAATTGCGCAAAGATTCCGTCCGGTCGCACCCAAATATCGGGAGAAGCTGTCAGATCTCATCAAAAGGACTGTTGGCAGACAAGATCGTTCAGCCATCCACGTCAACTTGGGCGTCTCCGATAGTGGTGATCATCAAGAAGAACGGAGTGGACATTCGCCTTTGCATTGATTATCGAAGAGTGAACCAGCTGACGCGACTGATGGTTTATCCCATGCCGTTGATCAGCGATCTGCTGGAAGATCTGGATAAAGCTCTATGGTACTGTTCGCTAGACATGGCTAGTGGATTCTGGGTCGTCGAAATGAACGGTCAACGGAGTCGGATCGAATCCACTCAATGAAACAAATCTATCGTCGAAGGATAACGATCGTGAGATCGAAACCGAGATCGCGATGAGAAGAGATCACGGGACCGAACGAGAAGAACAAGACAACAGACTGTCTTCATTGGACGTCAATCTTGCAGACAACCGAACAGGAATAGATCGGTCCGAGGCGACGCAAAGATCTAAAGAGGACAAGCCGTCTAAGATCGACGAAGCTGACTCCGCAGAAGCACCAGTCTACTATCACGAGAGTGGAGATTTGTTTGCCGACGACATCGAGCAACACCTGGCGGTGTTACAAGAGATGTCCACTGCTACGGAAGAAGTGACAATTAACGACATTCAGATCGGCGATCCGGACGTTCCTCTCACCGCAGATCAACAAAGACTCAGATCGCTGATTTGGAGGAGCCGTCACCTTCTTATGGGGAAGGAAAATGCTCTACCACCAGCGGCACGAGGGGCGATTTGTGATATCGATGTCGGTGGAGCCGCACCAATTGCGCAAAGATTCCGTCCGGTCGCACCCAAATATCGGGAGAAGCTGTCAGATCTCATCAAAAGGACTGTTGGCAGACAAGATCGTTCAGCCATCCACGTCAACTTGGGCGTCTCCGATAGTGGTGATCATCAAGAAGAACGGAGTGGACATTCGCCTTTGCATTGATTATCGAAGAGTGAACCAGCTGACGCGACTGATGGTTTATCCCATGCCGTTGATCAGCGATCTGCTGGAAGATCTGGATAAAGCTCTATGGTACTGTTCGCTAGACATGGCTAGTGGATTCTGGGTCGTCGAAATGAACGGTCAACGGAGTCGGATCGAATCCACTCAATGAAACAAATCTATCGTCGAAGGATAACGATCGTGAGATCGAAACCGAGATCGCGATGAGAAGAGATCACGGGACCGAACGAGAAGAACAAGACAACAGACTGTCTTCATTGGACGTCAATCTTGCAGACAACCGAACAGGAATAGATCGGTCCGAGGCGACGCAAAGATCTAAAGAGGACAAGCCGTCTAAGATCGACGAAGCTGACTCCGCAGAAGCACCAGTCTACTATCACGAGAGTGGAGATTTGTTTGCCGACGACATCGAGCAACACCTGGCGGTGTTACAAGAGATGTCCACTGCTACGGAAGAAGTGACAATTAACGACATTCAGATCGGCGATCCGGACGTTCCTCTCACCGCAGATCAACAAAGACTCAGATCGCTGATTTGGAGGAGCCGTCACCTTCTTATGGGGAAGGAAAATGCTCTACCACCAGCGGCACGAGGGGCGATTTGTGATATCGATGTCGGTGGAGCCGCACCAATTGCGCAAAGATTCCGTCCGGTCGCACCCAAATATCGGGAGAAGCTGTCAGATCTCATCAAAAGGACTGTTGGCAGACAAGATCGTTCAGCCATCCACGTCAACTTGGGCGTCTCCGATAGTGGTGATCATCAAGAAGAACGGAGTGGACATTCGCCTTTGCATTGATTATCGAAGAGTGAACCAGCTGACGCGACTGATGGTTTATCCCATGCCGTTGATCAGCGATCTGCTGGAAGATCTGGATAAAGCTCTATGGTACTGTTCGCTAGACATGGCTAGTGGATTCTGGGTCGTCGAAATGAACGGTCAACGGAGTCGGATCGAATCCACTCAATGAAACAAATCTATCGTCGAAGGATAACGATCGTGAGATCGAAACCGAGATCGCGATGAGAAGAGATCACGGGACCGAACGAGAAGAACAAGACAACAGACTGTCTTCATTGGACGTCAATCTTGCAGACAACCGAACAGGAATAGATCGGTCCGAGGCGACGCAAAGATCTAAAGAGGACAAGCCGTCTAAGATCGACGAAGCTGACTCCGCAGAAGCACCAGTCTACTATCACGAGAGTGGAGATTTGTTTGCCGACGACATCGAGCAACACCTGGCGGTGTTACAAGAGATGTCCACTGCTACGGAAGAAGTGACAATTAACGACATTCAGATCGGCGATCCGGACGTTCCTCTCACCGCAGATCAACAAAGACTCAGATCGCTGATTTGGAGGAGCCGTCACCTTCTTATGGGGAAGGAAAATGCTCTACCACCAGCGGCACGAGGGGCGATTTGTGATATCGATGTCGGTGGAGCCGCACCAATTGCGCAAAGATTCCGTCCGGTCGCACCCAAATATCGGGAGAAGCTGTCAGATCTCATCAAAAGGACTGTTGGCAGACAAGATCGTTCAGCCATCCACGTCAACTTGGGCGTCTCCGATAGTGGTGATCATCAAGAAGAACGGAGTGGACATTCGCCTTTGCATTGATTATCGAAGAGTGAACCAGCTGACGCGACTGATGGTTTATCCCATGCCGTTGATCAGCGATCTGCTGGAAGATCTGGATAAAGCTCTATGGTACTGTTCGCTAGACATGGCTAGTGGATTCTGGGTCGTCGAAATGAACGGTCAACGGAGTCGGATCGAATCCACTCACTGAAACAAATCTATCGTCGAAGGATAACGATCGTGAGATCGAAACCGAGATCGCGATGA